TTGTTAAAGAGAATATTGATCATTACCATCTATAGTAGGAGTTTTGGAAATTAATCCAACAGCAATTCCAAATTATAAAAATTGTTGTTTCGCGACAGAGAATAATATTGCCGGGAATTATTTTCTAGAATTAATTTGTTTTAACAACTATCACAAGACCTCTTGGTTTTTATTTTGCTTGTTAATACTTACAAATTAATTATATTCGTAACTAATCTAGAACCAATGATTTTAATTAAATAAAAGGAAAATACTTTCAGTAAATTCACAATTTTCACGATTTTTAATAAAGGAGCTTAAGTACACTGTGGATGTTAATCGCTGGTATCAAAGTTGACAAAATGGCAGAACAAAAGTTCTTTAGGTTTATCGAAGCCTCGGTGACGCTTTTAAATGCTCTAAATCCTTCCAGTTAAAGCATAATAGATGACAATCAATATGAAGAGAAAAACGTCAACAACAAAAGAACAAGTTAGCAATGTTTGCTAGCAGAAACCAAGAGATGGCGCTGTAAACAATGTTAACAGAATATCAAAAGAACAAAATGTAGGTTTCATAGAAAACAAAGTTTTTAATATTTTCCCAAAATTAAACGCAAGCGCCACTACAACCAATTCGAACAAATCTAAACTTATTCTAAAATTTGATGCTATTTCCGATATTTTTTGCTCTCATTCAATAAAATTAAAAAAAAAAATGTAAAAAAATGTTGCGTTTGATTTTGTTGCGGTTTTTTTTCTCATCCACAGTTGTAAAATTTTTTCATCGAAACATCTATCCATCCCCCACATCTCATCATCATCATCATTATCAGAGCCACCTCACTGCTTATCAAATTGTAACAATTATGTATTTACTCATTCACAATAATATGAATATTGCATGAAGGACCATATTAAAATAACAAAAGCATTCATGGGAATCAACGAACGCAGAGTGCCAAAGCAAAGCTCTTTTCTATCTTCATCACACACCCTCTCACCCTGAAGAGGACATCCACTGAATTGGAAATATTAAACAAACAACAAGGCTATTATTTGCATAAATATGTTCGTTCGTTTGTTTGTTCGTTGCAATAATCGTGTATCTTTTATGTCTACTGCTATGCAAGTGTATGTAAATATTGTTGGCACTTGCAGCAGAATTCAATGATATTGGGGTAGATCGGGGATTAAATAGAAAAAAATATGTGGATGTGCCGTGGAGATACTCGTATATGGCAAAGAAAGAACATTAATTTCCGTTTGCATTACAAAATAGGAGATATCTCACAAACTCTATGAAAAAAATCCTCCTCTTATTCCTTCTTGCAAAAATTTCGAAAAATTTATTTTCCCACAGATCTCCTTGGGAAATTTGTTAACACAGACAACAAACTTAATTTTGAGTTGTTTTTCAACATTCGGTGTTCCGACAGTTATATATCCTCAAAATTTAACTACTATATATAACTATTTAACTATTATATTATTATATTATAACGAAGACTTGGACTTGCATACGAACCTTTTTTGTTAAAGGCTGTACGAACTTTAAATATGAAATATGTTGCAATTCCGGTGATAAATGCCGCAAAAATAATGAAAATACCGAGTATCGGGAGGTACCGTCATATGGGGGCTATACGCAGACGTGGACCTGCATACGAAATTTTTCGTCATACATTGTAGTACCCATTAAGATCATCCAATACGAAATTTGAAACGATTCCGGTGAATAATGTCGCTAAAATCATCAAAATACCGAATATCGTGAGGTACCGTTATATGAGGGCTATGCAAAGACCTGGACCTGCACCTGTAATATCTATTACGAATTTCAAATACCAAATTTGAAACATTTCACTTAAAGCACCAAAATACCAAATAAGGGAGGTACCATTATATGGGGGCTATACCAAAATGTGGACCTACATGGGATCCAAAATGCATATTTCGAGGTGTTACAAAAGAATGACAAACTTAATATACATTTATACTATGGTAGAGGGTATATCAATCATCGATAGGGGTCCATACATGTAGCAGAAGACCTCCTTACATATTTTTTGCAAAGACTTTCAATATAGGATCTCGTTATCTCTTCTGTTTTTACCAACTTTCTTAGAAAAGTATCATCAATATGGGTCCTCATTTTGGAGCAGAAGATCTATTTATGGATGGCAGACCATCTTCAGGCCTTCTTAGCCTTACAAACATCCCAAGTACAAATTGTCAACGTAGGTCCATGTATGGGATCACCTGCACAGACCTTAATGATTACATATGGGTAAAAACTTCGTATAGATCCATATTTAGGAAGGACATTTTCATATATTCCACATTTAGTTAGAAGACCATCCTACAATTCTTCTTCGCAAAATTACCAATATTTATCCACCTTTGTGTGGAAAATCTCTGAGAGGTCTTCATGAATAATAATGAAAATAATAATATTTGTCCCAAAGTTCCTTCAGAAAACATTCTTGGAAGAATTAATCAATATACAGGGTGAGATGAAAAAAATGCAACAAAGTCAAACGCCATAATTTCTACATTTTTTTTTTAAATTTTATTGAATGAAAGCAAAAAATTTCGGAAATAGCATCAAATAATAGAACAAGTTTAGATTTGTTCGAACTGGTCACCGTTGGCACGAAATGTGGCCTTCAAACGGCCAATGAAACCGTCACACGCTGCCCGAATGTTGCTCTGCGGTATTTTGGCTCATTCCCGACGAAGAGCTCGCTTGAGGTGATCGACACTTTGGTGTTTTTTAGTGCCAACCTTGCTTTCCAAAATACTCAAGACACAATAGTCCAACGGATTGGTATCCAGAGATTTTGTTGGTCATTGTGCACTGAAAATGAAGCAAGGAACCTAATTTTGTAACCATTCTTGGTTTGCGCGTGCTGAGTGCGATTGTGCTGAGTCCTGTTTAATACCCCCTTTAGAATATTTTCGCGTTAATAGCGGCCATCACCATGGCCGGCGCTTGAGTTGTGGTGGTCAACCGAAGGTGCACATTTTCAGCTGACCTCTTTGGCAAGAAAACACGAACATTTTGTTTGTTTACAAACTGCTGGACAACGAATGTTTTCTCATCAGAGACGGAGAAAACCAAATTCGGCAGTTCACCATTTCGGCCAAGCGAACCAACTCTTTAGGGTCTATTTTCTTTCTGTTGCGGTGTAAGTTCTTGCACTTTTTAGAATTTCAATGGCTTTACTCTGAGGTAATTCTTCAATATTTGCCGAATGGAATAACGATATGTTCAGCTCACGTGCCACTGCAACGCGTGTTTCGATCAAGTCGCTTCTTTACTTTTCGAACTATTTCGGCTGATGTTGCTGTTTTCTTCCATCTACTTCCTTGACGTCGGGCTACGCTACCAGTACCAGTATCACGGAAACGAGCGATGGTACGAGACACAAAAGATTTATTCATATTAAAATGCTGGAGTGCTCTAACGATAGCCACTTGTGGTTTTCCAGCCAAATATAAAGAAATCACACTATCAGGCTTGATTTCCATCACGAATATCTTTTTTTTCTGGAAAATTCTCACCAAAATGCTTTTGTACGCTTGTAAACAATATGATGAGCTGTCACTGGAATAATTTTAAGAACTGTCGGACGAGTGGCTTAGAAATGACAGTAGACTGAAGTTGGTTGCAGGTTTTTCATCTCGCCCTGAATATCTTCGTCCGTTTTGCCTTTTTTGTGTACAAAGCGTGTAATATCAGCCCAAATAATATGGAATTTTGCACATACGATCAAATTAGTCCTGAAAATAAGTATGCTAAATTTGATCGAAATCGGTTACAGAGTGAATATTACGCCTGCGGAGGACAAAAAACATCAAATCGGATGAATATATGGGAGCTATAGCTATATCTGAACCGATTTTCACCAAATTTCTCATACTACCTTATAGACTCAATTCGGTCGTAAGTGCCAAATTCCATCCCATTTGGGCAAATATTAGACGTTTGGTGCACAATAAAAAGCAAATCGGACGAATATATATATGGGAACTATATCTAAATTTTTACCGATTATCTCCAATTTCAATAGGGTTAGTCCTTGGGCCAAACAAATGTTGTTTGGAAAATTTCATCTCAATCGGATAATAAATGCGACCTGCGTTTTGTCACAAGAATACATGGACAGACGGACGAACGGACTGACATGCATAAACCAACTCAAGAAGTGATTCTATGAAGATCCTCAAAAGTAACTATGGGTCTATCTCGCTTCCTTCTCCATGTTACAAACAAATGCACAAAGACATAATACCCTGACCACCTTGTGGTGTAGGGTATTAAAAAGAATGTAAAAATTGTGACGTTTGACTTTTTCACAGTTTTTTATCTCACCCTGTATAAGTCTTTTGGCCCAAATTTATCCACAAAATCTTCCTTAAAACCTAGTTTGCTTCTATAAGCAAGGAAAACTCCTTATAAAAATTTATTGAAAAAAATTGTCAATATATGGCCGAATTTGAGCATAAAAAATCGTTAGCAAGGGTATCAACATAGGTCCGTGTTAGTACAGAAGAGCCTTTTAGAAAATTTTCAAAATATGCCGATTTTAATGCAGAACGTTACTTTATAAAATACCCCCCAAGCACAGGCTCATGTTTGAGTTAAAAACTTATCTCGAAAATTTGTCATCTATATTTTACAAAAATCTATGTTGAAGAAAATTTTAATATGGGTTCACGTTTGATTTGGCCGAAAAAAAACCTGTTCACCAACAAAAATTCTAATACGATTCCGCTTTTGGATAGAAAACTCTTCTCTGAAAATTATTATTAGAGGTGAACAATATGAGGCCGTTTGTATTGATTCCATTTTAAATCGAAAATGTTTAATCAATTTCTAAGCTACCATAGCGTAACTTCCTATTATTATCAACCTTCACACACACACACGCCCTCATAGATGTTTGCATTTGTGTTGGTAAATAAGTGAGAGGAAAATTTCAATTTGTTATTACAATGTATTGATTAAATGTTATAGTATCAACTACTAATTCCCCTCAACGATAGTGTCTCCCGTTATTCCCTTAATGAGAATCGTTCCACATTTTATTATTCCAAAGAATTGTTTACCAAAATATTAATATGCAAATCCAGCATTTTTATAAAATAAATTTCCAAAGAATAAATATTCATTAATACTTTATTTGTAAGAATTGTTTATTAAAATATTGATATGCAATTCAACATTTTATTCCAGACAAATTTCCAAAGAATTGTTTACTTAAATATTAATATTAGCCTAAAACTGTATTTTCTTTTCTGCTGCATTTCCGACAACGAAAATGCAGCAATAAACAGAATTTTAGTATATAAGCCAGTGAAAAATAAAGAAAGCAAGTTATAATTTCAAACCACACCAAACGTCTTTTTTTTAGTCAAAGTTTTTTCCGCAAATAAAAGTGGCGCAGTCGGTAGGATACCGCAAAGTCCTATCCAACGTATAAAAATAATAAAACAGATTTTATTGTGCGCGATAGAACTAGGATTTTAATCCTTAGTGCGGTATTCGAAATATCCTTTATAAGATTAAAGGATACACAAATTTTATGAAGGAAAAAAAATAAAAAGGATATTAAGAAATATCCCTGTGACTAAAAAAATATTAGTGGAACCAGAAAGGATATAAAGATCTATCCTTTTGGTGAACATCCTTGTGTCAGAAGGAAACCTAGTGAAAAAAAAAAGAGGATATTCCTTCAGTGGATTATAAACTTCAAAAAAACAACAACCATAATATAAAGACTGATTAAAACTATATTAAACAAAAAACAAGAAAAAATAACCAATACAACAACAAAACAAAATAAAATTTAAAATACGGGTCTAATACAAGCAAACAACAACAAGGAGAAGTAATAAAACAACAGCAACTATTGGAGCAATATTGTAAAGAAATAACATTACCAACAAACCAATAAGGAACAGTTCATGCCGAGAACTGCACCGTGGAAGACCCTACTACTAAGAAGAAAGTAAACCTGCAATCCTTAGCACCAACAACCAAATTACAAAGTAAGACTATCTCTAGAAATCTATAATTAAGAATAACTTGTATATTTTATAAGAAAATATTTAACATACCTTTGTGAAAAATCGTGTAGGAAAATAATTCCCTACAAGCAATTGTTGAAAATTTTTTTTTTTTCCTCTCCTCCCTCTTTCCCATTTCAATGAGCGATAGTGACTCATTATCAGAGTACCCATCAGACTTTGAATACATACCAAGAAACTCTAATAACGGGTCGACAGCATTAGAACTTGACTCAGGGATTGAATCGAATGATGGATACCTGACTGACGAAAGAACAGAATATTACATTCGTGACATAAGAAGTAGCAGAAACAGACGCATTTTTAGAAAGAAACTCAGACAATATTTTAGACGTAGATAAACAAAAAAAAAAAGAAAAAAACTAAACAGGACTATAACCCAAAATATAAAGGAAAATAAATAACTAAAATGGCAGAACAGGCCGAAAATCAGATTAATAGACTAATCATAGACCCGCTAAAATACTTAAACAACTTACCGGAGTTCTATGGGGATTCAAAAACTTACAGACTTTTACTACCCTCGTTGACCGAATTTACCCACACTTACGCACATACGACGAATTGTCCCAATTACTTTTCTCCGACATTATAAAGTCCAAACTCAAAGGAAAAGCTAGGCAGGCAATTGAGATAAACTGCCACGCGATTTCATGGACTGACATAAAAAACATGTTGCAAAACAATTTTGGGGACAGACGTTCTAGTGAAGAACTTTTCGACGAACTAAGGAGTGTGACTTTCAGGACGAACACACTAGACTTCTATAATGACGTAAAGGACAAATTGCACAGACTAAACAACAAACTGGTAGTTATACTAGGAGAAGGTGAAGCAACTAGGCAAAGTGCGATTAATAATAAACGCACCGCTTTAAACATTTTTAAAAGCAAAATTCCAGAGCCTATGAAATCCATCCTGCTCTGTAGGAACCCAGGAGACTTGGAACAGGCCATGGACATATTATTTCAAGCCGGCTACGCATACACCGGAAACAATGAAAATAGAGCACAGACCAATGCACAATCTAGTAAACGAAGAAATTACCAACAACCATTCGTAAACCAAGGAAGAAATTACCAACAACCATTCCCAAACCAAGGAAGAAATTACCAACAACCATTCCCAAACCAAGGAAGAAATTACCAACAACCATTCCCAAACCAAGGAAGAAATCACCAACCACCATTCGCAAATCAAGGAAGAAATCACCAACCACAATTCATAAACCAAGGAAGAAATTACCAACAACCATTCCCAAACCACGAAGGAAATTTCCAAAACCCTTTCCATGCAAACAGACAAAACACTAGAAATCAGCCTGAACCCATGGAAATAGGCACAGCCGAAAATTTTCGGGACAGAGCCTCGACAGGCAATTACCATATATAATGGTAAAAACCAAGTTAGGTCATTTGAGACTGATAGTGGATACTGGAGCCACTAATTCAATTATTAATCCAGGAATTTGTCATCCGAAATGGATACACCAAATAAAACCTCTTGTTATTAAAACTCTCCAACACCAAGTTACCATAACAGAAAAGGCAGTAATTCCAGCATTTCAAGAATTTAATATAACTAATAATGCGTTAGAGTTTTATGTTTTAAAATTTCACAATCACTATGATGGATTACTAGGCAACGATATACTTAAAACATACAATACTTGCATAAATTATAAAAACAATTCCATACAAATAAACGGACAGGACATGCCAATACTTTTTGACAATAAAAATAGCGAAAATAGAGAAGAAACAAATGACAAACCAATATTTTTTGAAGAACAATATAACAAAAATTTAAGTAAAATCATGCCCACGCAGAAGGTAGGCGATGATACCAAGGATATGAAGCAATATCATAGCTTGGAACAACAAATTAGGACACAACACCTTAATTCTGAAGAGAAAAGATGTCTCTTACAGCTAATAAAAAATACTCTTCAATCTTCTTCCAAGAAAATACTCGATTGAGTTTTACCAACGTTATAAAGCATAAAATTCGGACAACAAACAATGTTCCAATAATTAGTAAATCCTATAGATATCCTTACATACATAAAAGAGAAGTCGAAGGACAGATACAAGAAATGTTGCAAAATAATATAATAAGGCATAGCAATTCGCCTTATTCTGCCCCTATTTGGATTGTGCCAAAAAAAGCCGATGCAAGTGGGAAGAACAAATGGAGACTTGTCATTGATTACCGTAAATTAAATGAAGTTACAATCGATGATAAGTACCCCATACCTAACATTGACGAAATACTCGACAAACTGGGAAGATGCCAGTATTTTACAACACTTGACCTCGCAAAAGGATTTCATCAGATTGAAATCGAAGAGGAGGACATCCATAAAACTGCCTTCAGTGTAGAAGGAGGCCATTACGAGTTTTTACGAATGCCGTTTGGGCTAAAGACAGCCCCAGCGACATTCCAAAGGTTGATGAACTACGTCCTTAGAGACTATATCAACAAAATCTGTCTGGTTTATCTAGACGATGTGATAATATTTTCCACCTCACTGCAGGAACACATAAATTCATTAAAACTTGTTTTTAACCGTTTGCAAGAAGCCAACCTCAAGGTCCAATTGGACAAATCGGAATTTTTAAAAAAGGAAACTGAATTCCTTGGCCATGTCGTGACATTAGAAGGTATAAAACCTAACCCAAAAAAAATCGAGTGCATAGTTAACTTCCCCATCCCCAAATCACCCAAACAAATTAAACAGTTCCTAGGGTTAACTGGTTATTATCGAAAATTTATAAAAGATTATTCGCTAATAGCTAAACCCATGACATAGTGTCTTAAAAAGGATGCCAAAATAAACATATCCAATCCAGAATATCAGGAAAGCTTTAATACGCTAAGAAACTTACTAATACACGACCCAATCCTCGCTTACCCCGACTTTACTAAGAAATTCACCCTAACAACAGACGCTAGTAATTTTGCCCTTGGAGCGATACTATCTCAAGATAACCACCCGATTTGCTATGCTAGTCGTACCCTAAATGATCACGAGATCAATTACAGTACGATAGAAAAAGAACTTCTAGCAATTATTTGGGCCACAAAATACTTTCGCCCATACCTTTTCGGACGCAAGTTCATAATCGAGACAGATCACAAACCGCTAACATGGCTCTTTTCGATTAAAGAACCCAACTCAAAACTAGTCAGATGGAGGCTCAAGTTGTCAGAATTCGATTATGAGATTAAATACAAAAAGGGAACAAAAAACAGTAATGCAGATGCATTATCAAGGATCGAAAATAAAATTGTTGAGATCAATTCATTAGAAAACATCCAACCCATTCTTAAAGAGAGCGATTCACCTATAAATTTATTTAAAAACCAACTCATCGTAAAAAAAATTCATTCCGGATCAGCAAGGATAAAAACCGAAAACATCTTTCAGAATATTAGAAAAACTGTAACAATAAAAGAACTAGATAAAGAGTATGCAATTATGATTTTAAAAACCCACTGTCACCCAACACAAATAAATGCAGTTCTGATAGACAATGAATTTTACGACACTTTCAGAGACACTTGTAGGGAATTCTTTTCAAATAATAACGGATTCAAATTAATCAGGACTTTTAAGAAACTAGACGATATAGAAGACGAACTCCAACTAACAAACATAATTGAGGAAGAACATCTAAGCAAAAATCACAGAGGAATTCAGGTAGTGTTCGAGGAACTAAAAACAAAAATTTATAACCCCAAACTTAAATTAAGGATAACCCAGTTCATTAACAATTGCGAAATATGCACATTGGAAAAGTATGACAGAAGACCACCTAGACTACCTTACAAACTAACGGAAACACCCACAAAACCCAGAGAAATATTACACTTAGACGTTTTCTATACACTAGAGAAACAACTTTACTTAACTATAATTGACAAATTTTCAAAACACGCCACAGCATACAAAATTAATGGAAGATCATGGATAGAGTTTAAATCAAAATTAATGCAATATACCAGCACATTTGGAAGAATAGAAAAAATTGTTGTTGACAATGAGTTAGGATTTAAAGCCATTCCGATTCAAGAATATTTAAGGAAAGAGAACATTAATATACACTACACATCAAACAGTAACCATACATCCAACGCAGATATCGAACGACTTCACAATACATTGAACGAACACTTAAGATTACTACGACATGACGAACAATCCAAAGACGAAACGACAGAGGAAAAAATATCACGTATCATTGGATTTTATAATAATACTATTCATAGCACCACACAAATCAAACCTATAGACTTTATAAATGGCAAAGTACATGAGGATAAATATCCCGAAATACATGATCTAATATTAAAGAAGAAAAATAACTATATTAATAAACTTAACAAAAATAGAACCGATATAGTGATAGAGGAAGGTACAAACTATATAAGAGAAATTCGAGGGGGTAAAAATCATAGGAGGTACAGAAAGATAGAATCTAAGAAAGTCGATGAAGATCATATTGAAAACACAAAAACAGGGCATAAATATTACAAAGCACATATAAGACCTCAAAAGAAATATCAAGACAAGAATAACCCAAAAATTAAAGCAAAATCTAGATAATTACCATCCCCTTTCAGATGATTAACTGGATCATAATAATGGTTGCATTTACTACAGCAACCAAGGCCCAAACCCTCGACATACAAGACTTATCGAACAATAATGGTTACATACCGATAAAAACAGGAGAGACCAATACCGTAGAACACTACATAAAAGTACTGCACATAATAAACACTACAGAATTCGAACGAACTATGGAGATAATTAAAACCAACATTGACACCCTAAAGACATCCAGTAGCGAATCAAAAACATTAATCAGTACAATAAACAAGAACTTTATGCTACTAAAAGCGAAAATAGAAAATCTTAACCCACATTTTAGAAAGAAACGGGCACTCTTAAACATTATAGGAAAAGGCTTAAAAATGATTGCAGGTACAATGGACAGCGATGATGAAGAACAAATAACTGAAGCTCTCAAATCTCTACATTCGAACTAAGAAAACTTAACTAACAAAATGAACAAACTAACTTATATAAACAATGTCATGAACTCCCAAATCCAGAACATAACTAACCATATAAACTATCAGCAAAACATTATCGGGGACTACTTAGTCAAATTCAAGAATATTATAGGGAATAAAATTTCAACCATAGAGGACGAGATAACATTTATAGAACACATATACCAGATTAACAACGACATCTCACTCCTACGGCATCACGTAGACGACATAGGACAGATTATTTTCTCCGGGAAACTGGGAATAATTCCCACAGATATTCTCACCCAAACAGAACTCGATTTAATCACAAGCTTTGACAGCTATACCAATATAAAAGTAGCCATAGCACGTAATGAAGGGAACGTTATAATAATTCTCTCTATACCACAATATTCCCAAGATTCACTATCCAAGGTAACATTCGTACCCATTCCTGACAAAAATAATAAATCCATAATGGTTAATCATTCTGATGTTCTTATAGATTTAGAAAGAAATATTTATAGCACGTATATTAAAGATAACCTAAAAAGAAATCTTATAAAAATTAATGATAATTGTTTGAACAATATACTAAACTTTGAAGAAGCTAATTGCAAAACGCAAACATTAAATACACAAGAAATTAGCGAAATAATTCCAGGAGTATTAATCCTTAAACACTTTAACAGTACGATATCACATAATTGTAACAAAGATAAATTAAAAATTTCAGGAAATTACTTAATCAAATTCGAAAATTGTGAAGTAAACACGTTAAACAAAACCTTTACGAATTTTAAAATAAAAATACAAGACAAGTTTATCCTACCTAACCTTATAACAAAAATTAAAGATACCAGTAACACAACACTTGCAGACATAAAACTTGAAAATTTATATCTAAAACAAATAGAATACGAGGAAACACTGAAACAAGTACTATATACAGATAAAAACTCAAAAATAATTGGCTATAGTATAGATATTTTAATCGGTACATCAATATGTATCTTAATTATATTTATATATCTCTTTAAGAATAAACAAACCTATGTTCCAAATGTACAATTAAAAAACCAAACTATTATAAACAATCCGGCAAAGATAATATAATTTCGTCGGAGCCTCAAACTAAGGGTGGGGGTGTTATAGTATCAACTACTAATTCCCCTCAACGATAGTGTCTCCCGTTATTCCCTTAATGAGAATCGTTCCACATTTTATTATTCCAAAGAATTGTTTACCAAAATATTAATATGCAAATCCAGCATTTTTATAAAATAAATTTCCAAAGAATAAATATTCATTAATACTTTATTTGTAAGAATTGTTTATTAAAATATTGATATGCAATTCAACATTTTATTCCAGACAAATTTC